GCCTCGACACACGCCCTTCCTTGCAACAGGAACAACGAAGGGAAGAACAAGAAAACGAATTCCCTTCCTCCGTTGTTCCTGTGTTGCAATCTGTTCATCGAATTCCCACGCCTTCTTTGCAACAGGAATAACGAACGAGAAGGACAAGAAAACCACACGAATATCCCCTTCCCTCCGTTGTTCCGTTGCAGTCTGTTCATCCGTGTTCCCACGCCATTCTTTTGCAAACAGAAGAACGAAGGGAAGAACAAGAAACACCGAATATCCTTCCTTCCGTTGCTCCGTTCATTTGTTCATCATTGAATTCCCCACGCCCTCTTTGCAACAGGAAGAACGAAGGGAAGAACAAGAAACACACGAATATCCCCTCCCCCGAGTTCCTGTTGCAACCTGTTCATCATGAATTCCCCACGCCCTTCCTTGCACACAACCCAGGGGACCAGAGAAAGCACAGCGAGGGCGTGTGCAACAGCGCCCCCCCCTCCCGAGTGAGCAATCAGGACTCACGGTGAAGGGGGAGGACTCACGGCGAAGGGGGAGGACTCACGGTGAAGGAGGAGGACTGACTCAGGAACGGGAGGACTCACGGGGAAGGGGGAGGAACTCACGGTGAAGGGGGAGGACTCACGGCGAAGGGGAACTCAAGGGGAGACTCACGGGGAAGGGGGAGGACTCACGGCGAAGGGGGAGGACTCGGGAGGGGAGACTCACGGTGACTCACGGTGAAGGGGGAGGACTCAGGACTCACGGTGAAGGGGGAGGACTCACGGTGAAGGGAGAGGACTCACGTCGGTGAAGGGGAGGACTCACGCGAAGGGGGAGGACTCACGGTGAAGGGAGGAGGACTCACGGGGAAGGAGGAGGATCACGGCGAAGGGGGAGGACTCACGGCGAAGGGGGAGGAACGGGGGGAGGACTCACGGGAAGGAGGAGGACTCACGGTGAAGGGGGAGGACTCAGGGAAGGGGGAGGACTCACGGTGAAGGGGAGGAGGAAGGGGAGGATCACGGCGAAGGGGGAGGACTCACGGGAAGGAGGAGGACTCACGGGAAGGGGAGGACTCACGGTGAAAGGGGAGGACTCACGGCGAAGGGGGAGGACTCACGGCGAAGGGGGAGGACTCACGGTGAAGGGGGAGGACTCACGGTGAAGGGGGAGGACTCACGGCGAAGGGGGAGGACTCAAGGGGAGGACTCACGGCGAAGGGGGAGGACTCACGGTGAAGGGGGAGGACTCACGGTGAAGGGGAGGACTCACGGCGAAGGAGGAGACTCACGGAAGGGGGAGGACTCACGGCGAAGGGGAAGGACTCACGGCGAAGGGGAGGATCACGGTTGAAGGGGAGGATCACGGCGAGCGAAGGAGAGGACTCACGGCGAAGGGAGAGGACTCACGGCGAAGGGGGAGGACTCACGGTGAAGACTCACGGAAGGAGGAGGACTCACGTGAAGGGGAGGACTCACGTGAAGGGGGAGGACTCACGGAGGAACGGGAAGGGGGAGGACTCACGGAGAACGACTCACGGCGGCGGGAGGACTCACGGGAAGGAGGAGGACTCACGGTGAAGGGGAGGGGGGAAGGGGAGGACTCACGGGGAGGGGAAGGACTCACGGGGAAGGGGAGGGACTCACGCGAAGGGAGGACTCGGGGAAGGAGGAGGACTCACGGTGAAGGGGGAGCGACTCACGGCGAACGACTCACGGGTGAAGAGAGACTCACGGCGAAGGGGGAGGACTCACGGTGAAGGGGAGGACTCACGGCGAAGGGGGAGGACTCACGGTGAAGGAAGGACTCACGGGAAGGGGAGAGGACTCACGTAAAGGGGAGGACTCACGGTGAGGGGAGGACTCACGGTGAAGGGGAGGATCACGGCGAAGGGGAGGACTCACGGGTGAAGGGGGGAGGACTCACGGTGAAGGAGGAGGACTCACGGTGAAGGGGGAGGACTCACGGCGAAGGGGGAGGACTCACGGTGAAGGGGAGGACTCAGGAAGGGAGGACTCACGGTGAAGGGGGAGGACTCACGGTGAAGGAGAGGACTCACGGCGAAGGGGGAGACTCACGGAAGGGAAGGGGGCGAGGACTCACGGTGAAGGGGGAGGACTCACGGTGAAGGGAAGAGGACTCACGGTGAAGGGGGAGGAGGACTCACGGTGAAGGGGGAGGACTCACGGCGAAGGGGGAGGACTCACGGTGAAGGAGGAGGACTCACGGTGAAGGGGGAGGACTCACGGTGAAGGGGGAGGACTCACGGCGAATGAGGACTCACACTCACGGGACTCACGGTGAAGGGAGGACTCACGGGTGAAGGGGGAGGACTCACGGCGAAGGGGGAAGGACTCACGGTGAAGGGGGAGGACTCACGGCGAAGGGGAGAGGACTCACGGTGAAGGAGAGGACTCACGGTGAAGGAGGAGACTTCACGGCGAAGGAGGAGACTCACGGTGAAGGGGACTCACGGCGAAGGGGGACTGGACTCACGGTGAAGGGGGAGGACTCACGGTGAAGAGGATCACGGTGAGGGAGGACTCACGGCGACTCAGGGGGAGGACTCACGGTGAAGGGGAGGACTCACGGCGAAGGGGAGAGGACTCGGTGAAGGGGGAGGACTCACGGGAAGGGGAGAGGACTCACGGTGAAGGGGGAGGACTCACGGCGAAGGAGGAGGACTCACGGTGAAGGGGAGACTCACGGTGAAGGGGGAGGACTCACGGCGAAGGAGGAGGACTCACGGCGAAGGGGGAGGACTCACGGGGAAGGAGGAGGACTCACGGTGAAGGGGAGACTCACGGGAAGAGGACTCACGGCGATTGGACTCACGGCTGAAGGAGGGAAGGACTCACGGTGAAGGGGGAAAGGGGGGAGGACTCACGGGGAGGAGGGCGAAGGACTCACGGGGAAGGGGGAGGACTCACAGGCGAAGGGGAGGACTCACGGGAAGGGGGAGACTCAGAAGGGGAGGACTCAGGTGAAGGGGGAGGACTCACGGCGAAGGGGAGGACTCACGGGGAGGAGGGACTCACGGTGAAGGGAGAGGACTCGGAGAGGAGGCGACTCACGGTGAAGGGGAAGGACTCACTCACGGCGAAGGGGGAGGACTCACGGTGAAGGGGGAGGACTCACGGTGAAGGGAGAGGACTCACGGCGAAGGAGAGACTCACGGGCGAAGGGGGAAGGACTCACGGTGGAGGGGAGGACTCACAGGAAGGGAGACTCACGGTGAAGGGGGAGGAACTCACAGGGAGAGACTCACGGTGAAGGGAGAGGACTCACGGGGAAGGGGAGGACTCACGGTGAAGGGAGGACTCACGGGAAGGGACTTGAAGGGGGACTCACGGTGAGGGGGGGACTCACGGCGAAGGGGGAGGACTCACGGCGAAGGGGGAGGACTCACAGGGATGACTCACGGCGAAGGGAGGACTCACGGTGAAGGAGAGGACTCACGGCGAAGGGGAGGACTCACGGTGAAGGAGAGGACTCTCGGCGAAGGGAGATCACGGTGAAGGGAGGACTCGCGAGGACTCACGGCGAAGGGGGAAGGACTCACGGTGAAGGAGGGAGGACTCACGGCGAAGGGGGAGGACTCACTCACGGGAAGGGGGAGGACTCACGGTGAAGGGGGAGGACTCACGGCGAAGGGGGAGGGACTCACGGCGAAGGGGAGGACTCACGGTGAAGGGAGGACTCACGGTCACTCACGGCGAAGGGAGAGACTCACGGCGAAGGGGGAGACTCACGGCGAAGGGGGAGACTCACGGCGAAGGGGAGGACTCACGGGCGACTCACGGTGAGGGGGAGGGCGAAGAGGCAGGTCCACCCGCCTGGAGCGCCGAGCTGACGAAGCTGCAGGAGGCACTCGGGCCCCAGGAACACGGCCACGGACCCGAAATCCTTCTTGGGCGCGTGGATCACGAGCTCCGTCAGGCTGCCGTTCGCCACCGGGTACTGAGGGCTCGGTCCTTCGTCAGGTGTCACGCTCACGTTCACGCAGACTGGAAGGGAAAATGGAGAAGACTGTAGCTGGAAAAATAATAAATGATAATCATGCAGACTGGAAGGGAAAATGGAGAAGACTGTTAGCTGAAAAAAAAATGTGATAATTGATGGAATAAAAAATGGACGCTGAAAAAAATAAATGATGGATTGAATGATAAAAAACGGACGCTTCAAAAAAATAAATTGACTGAATGACAAAAAAAATGAAAAAAAATTGATTGAATGATAAAAAAAATGGACGCTTCAAAAATAATAAATTGACTGAATAATAAAAAAAAAAAATGGACGCTTCAAAAAAATAAATGAATAAAAAAAAAAAATGGACGCTTCAAAAAATAATAAATTGATGAATAATAAAAAAAAAAAAATGGACGCTTCAAAAAATTAAAAATTGACTGAATAATAAAAAAAAAAAATGGACGCTTCAAAAAATAATAAATTGACTGAATAATAAAAAAAAAAAATGGACGCTTCAAAAAATAATAAATTGACTGAATAATAAAAAAAAAAAATGGACGCTTCAAAAAAATAAATTGACTGAACGACCAAAAAATAGACGCAAAAAAATAAATTGACTGAATGACCAAAAAAATAGACGCTTCAAAAAATAATAAATTGATTGATTGATAAAAAAAAAAAATGGACGCTGAAAAAAATAAATAATAATTGATTGAATGATAAAAAAAACGGACGCTTCAAAAAAATAAATTGACTGAATGACAAAAAATAGACGCAAAAAAAAAAAATGATAGAATGACCAAAAAAATAGACGCAAAAAAAAAAAATTGATAGAATGACCAAAAAAATGGACGCTTCAAAAAATAATAAATTGACTGAATGACTAAAAAAAAAAAAAAAAACGACGCTTAAAGATTCATACTTCGAAATGTAATAAATAAATAATAAATAAATGTAATAAAAAAAACTAAAATGACTGAATGACTAAAAAAAAAAAAAAAACGACGCTTAAAGATTCATACTTCGAAATGTAATAAAAAATAATA